TTGGGCGAGACGCCGGCCAGAACTACTTTCTACACAAATGGTGTGGGTTAGGTACCTTGCCTCTCCGGCCCTCTCCTCCTTTTCCATTTTAGAAAAGTTCGTTCCGAGTCGACCCTATCTTCCCGATCCCCCGAAACTGCCCAGGGTAATTAACACAGCCATTAGTCGGCGTGACCGCGCGGAAGCCTCTGCGCCGGGGGTGACCACAACAAAGCTGGGCGGGGAGTACCGGCCAATCCTCCTCCCATGACATCCTCTCTGTCCCTTTCTCCCTTCCCAGCTCTAAGTGCGACCCAGTACTGAGGCGCGCGCGCGCGCGCGCGAACACACACACACACACACTCCGTGGCGAAATCAGACATGAAATACCCAAACGACTCCCTCCCCATTTCCTCCCACCCAAGTCCGCAGCGGCCCCGAAAGGTTCTCCAGGGTGGCCCTTATCCGCAATGCTTGGAGGGAGTGCTCTCTGAGTTAAGCTGGTTTCTTCTTGCCCTGGAGAAAAAAAAATGAGTTCTGACAAGGGTCCTGGATCTGCACCGGGAAGAAAGTACCACTTGAAAAAAAAAAAGGAAGAGAAGAAAAGAAAAGAAGAGAAAGGAAAAGAAAAGAGAAAGAAAGAAAAGAAAAGAAAAGCCTCAAGTCCGGCGGTGGTACCGTCTGCGGAGCCTGCTGCCCCTGGATGTTAGTAGAAAGCCTTGGGGCGCTGTAATCGGCTTGCAGAAGAGTAGGGGCCCGCGGAATTAAAAGGAACAAAAGCAAGAGCGCCATGCCAAACGTTCCCAACACGACCCCGTTAGGCAGGAGCCCGGAGTGATGGGAAAATAAACTAGAAGTAAGTTTCTTTTTTAAAATATTAAAAGATCTGAGGCTGTACCGTACTTTCCCTGTGGTTTTCTGCAGTTTTCCTCTCTCTGCTCTCCCTGTCCTCTTCATTCTCTCTCCCTCTCCCTCTCTCCTCGCTCACGCGCGCGCGTGCACAAACTCTCTCTCTCTCTCTCTCTCTCTCTCTCATTCTCTCT